CCCATAAACATAAAGCACCTAGATGAACCCATAAACGGAAAGCACCTAGGGGAACCCATAAACATAAAGCACGTAGGTGAACCCAAAAACATAAAGCACGTAGGTGAGCCCATAAACATAAAGCACGTAGGTGAACCCATAAACATAAAGCACGTAGGTGAACCCATAAACGCAAAGCGCCTAGGTGAACCCATAAAAGCACGTAGGTGAACCCATAAAAGCACGTAGGTGAACCCATAAACATAAAGCACCTAGATGAACCCCTATCCACGCCCAAGCACCATCGCACAGATACTGCTACAGACCGACACGCGCACGCACCTCTTCCTGATGTCCTCGGAATATGGGCTTGGTGGTCATAAGCTCAGCAAAGATGCAACCGATGGCCCACATGTCTATGGCCTTGGTGTAGTGCTTGGACCCCAGAAGTAGTTCCGGTGCACGGTACCATATGGTCACCACCACGGGATCTACATCCGACATCTGTGTGTGGGTGGGTGCAGATTTTGGTTGAACGGACCGAAAACCGCCGAATTGGAGCGGGGATGGGAGGATTGGGGATTTGCCATTTGGCGAATTGGAAATTGGAAATCGGACTACTGAAAATCGGCTTAGGCAGATGAGCTAGATTCGGATACCCACTGAAGCGCCCAGCTATGGATTTGGTACAAATGCGATACAATTGATACGTTCGATTAGGGCGTCCTGGTCCAAGCGCCCCAAACCAAGGCTGTGTATTAAAATCTAAACCCTAAAACCCTATACGAACGAAGCAGTGAGACTAAGTACACATAGAGCATTATCCTAACATCCACACACTGAACCTGCTACACTAAAGCAAACTATCAAGCGATAGTACCCAAACATAACCCGTTAGGAGGGGTGTGATACCACCCCCACATACCCGTTTAAGAGGATTGTTGAAGACTCGAGCCATTCCCAAATCGCAGATTTTGACCGTCCCGATTTCTCGGCCAGACCCGATCAACAGGATGTTTGCAGGTTTCATATCGCGGTGCAGGATCCAGTTGTCGTGTAGGTACTTCATCCCCTGCAGCGGCAGTATTGCGCACGAGTGTAGTACTTTAGAATGTGATGCAGCAGCAGTATTGCGCATGTGTGTAGTACTTTAGGATGTGATGGGATGTGATGCTTGATGGTGTGAGATCTGTAGGTAGCATGGAGCGGTCTGGGTGTACTCACATACCCGCAACGAATACTATATGGAAGCCTTACCCATCTCATGCTAAATAGCTGCCACGCAACAGAGTTAGATATAAAAAGGTAGGTAGAGATATAAAAGGGTAGGTAGATTGTATACAACTACTATAGTAGAAAATATCATGATCCTAATATACCCGCAACGACTGTCATATGAAAGCCGTGCCCATCTCAGGTTAAATAGCTGCCACGCAACAGAGTTAGATATAAAAGGGTAGGTAGAAATCTAAAAGGGTAGGTAGAGATATAAAAGGGTAGGTAGGTTGTATACAACTACTATAGTAGAAAGTACCACTATACTAATATACCCGCAACAAATGCTATATGAAAGTCACACCTACCTGAGGTAAAATAGCTGCCACGAAGAGTTAGATATAAAAGGGTAGGTAGAGATATAAAAGTGTAGTTAGAAATATAAAAGGGATAGGTAGAAATATAAAAGGGTAGGTAGTAATATAAAAGGGTAGGTAGATTGTATACAATTACTATAGTAGAAAGTACCACGATACTAATATACCCGCAACAACTGCTATATGAAAGTCACACCTATCTGAGGTAAAATAACTGCCACGAAGAGTTAGATATAAAAGGGTAGGTAGAGATATAAAAGTGTAGGTAGAGATAAAAAGGATAGGTAGATTATATACAACTACTATAGTAGAAAATACCACGATACTAATATACCCGCTACAACTGCCATATGGAAGTCACACCTATCTGAGGTAAAGAGCTGCCACGCAACAGAGTTAGATATGAAAGGGTAGGTAGAGATATAAAAGGGTAGGTAGATTGTATACTACTATAGTAGGAAATATCATGATACTAGCACACCCACAACAATTGCCACATGAACGTCTGGATCATGTCAGGCTGAATAGACATGTATAATTAAGAACACATCAGTATAGAACAAGCGTACCTACAACAACTGCCACATGAACGTCTGAACCATGTCAGGCTGAATAGACATGTATGATTAAGGACATATCAATATGAAACAAGCGTACCTACAACAACTGCCACATGAACGTCTGAATCATGTCAGGCTGAATAGACATATATAATTAAGAACATATCAATATGAAACAAGCGTAATTACAACAACTGCCACATGCATTGGATCATGTCGGGCTGGACAGACAAGTATAATTAAGAACACAAAATTATAGAACAAGCGTGCCTACAACAACCGCCACATGAACCTGGATCATGTCAGGCTAGATAGACATGTAAAACTAAGGACATATAAATATAAAACAAGCGTACCTGCAATAGCTGCCACATGATGGACTTAACCATGTGATGTTTAAGACATGTGTATAATTAGGAACATATCATTATAAAACAAGCGTACCTGCAATGCTCAACCAGTGATATTGAAGACATGTGTATAATTGGGAACATATCATTATAAAACAAGCGTACCTGCAATGCTTAACCATGTGATATTGAAGACATGTGTATAATTAAGAACATATTATTATAAAACAAGCGTACCTGCAATAGCTGCGACGTGATGGACTTAACCATGTGATATTAAAGACATGTATATAACTAAGAAAATATCATTATATAACCAGCGTACCTGCAATGCTTAACCATGTGATATTGAAGATATGTGCATAATTAAGAACATATCATTATAAAACAAGCGTACCTGCAATAGCTGCCACATGATAGACTTGACCATCTGATCGCCTAGCAGCACCAGCCTGGTATCAGGCCCACTCGTGTTCCTGTGTGTGTGCAGGATGTGCTACATACACGCAGCGTTGAACAGAACATTAGTACGGATACTAGGGACGTATCTACAGGTAGGTATACATATACCTACACAATTTAAAACAACCCGAAATTGGACAACAAATGCCAAAAAAATTGGAAATGTATATAAACTTACATATAAATCGTGCTCGGCATACTCGAATAGCAGCCAGACGTCTCTCGTTTCCGGATGTAGGTACACATCCTCCAAGCACACCAAATTCTGGTGTCGAATTTCTCTCAGCAACTGTGCCGTGATACAACATTTTCGGCATAAGGAATAAGTGCCAATCTACATGCTTGTGGGGCATAAGGACAAGTACTTACCAACGTGAGTGTTCGTCTGTTGTCTGGGGTATAGAGTGTGGAAAGAACGGACATGCTATTTCAGATAGCCCTGAAGTGCAGGTTGCGTGGAGGTTGCAGTTAATGGGAGAACCTGCTAGCTGTACGGGACAGACGCCATACAAGCATGAGAACGGGTGCACAACACTGACCAAGGGTAAGAGCTGAGCCAACACACACTGAAGCCAATGAATATAAATGAATAAACATATACCTACATACCTGGGAGTACTGAACAAGGCATTCCAAATAAAAACTTAGAAGCTTCACAAACAAGTACAATAACTGCTGGCATACAAAATATAGTTATAGTTATAGTTATATAT